AAAAAAAAAGCAAAACGGGAGAGAGATGAGGGCAAGATAGAGAGTAAGAATCCACAGGCCAAGGGGAAGGAACAGGAGTTTTGGAGGCAGACACATCTGTATGAGAACCATGGTTCCTGGGTGGGCTGCAACAAGTCACGTTGACTTCTCTGAACGGCAGTTTCTTCATCTGCAAAATGAGATGGTCGCTATGCCCAAGGATTTTCCTAAGAAACGAGCTGATGAATGCACAGAAATGCGTGATGGGGGGGTGGGGGGAGGGGAAGGGAAGGGATCTCTCTGCGCACGCTCGTGTATCCCTGCGTGCACTTTAACATCAGTTGGTCACTGGGTGTCCGCCTCTCCAGGAGCAGTTCCTCTCCAACTCATATTCCCTGAGCCTCCCCTGCTCTTCATCAAAACCCGTTCTCAGGGCAGCATTAACATTAATGGTATTGTGAACACTTGTCTGGTGTCAAGTGCGGCTGTAACATTCAGAACTCAGAGTATTCTAGGGCATGCGGAAGCCCAGGGAGGGCAGGAGGTTGACCTTTCAAGAGTACCCGGCTCTCTCTGTGCCACAGCTTACCCAGCTCCCCCTCTGCCTGGGGTCATAGGGTGACATGTGTGTCCCCAAAGTGAGACTGACGTTTAAACTCCAGCTCTGTCATTGACGAACTGGCTACCTAATTTGGGCAAATAAATGTGTTTCTGAGGATTGAAAAGTGTATACCTACCTCCCTTGCAAATGTGTTGTAAAGATTAAATGCAATACTATACAAAGGTCACGAGCACAGTGCCTATGCCTGGGACATAAAAACAGATCGCCATGTTATTACTGTCGATGTTGCCGTTACTTTCTCTCTCTTGAGTATGGATTGCAGCCCCTTTCTCTTCCCTGCAGGGAGGAGGCCTGTTGTCTGGGTGAAGTCCCAGACTGTAGGTCAAGGGCGGGATGTGCTCAGTGCCACCTAGAGCAAAGAGGGCGTTAGGATGAGGAAAGGGGATGTGGTTCAGGACTGGGATATGAAGGTTCAGGAGAGGAGGTGGGGCACGAGGCAGGGAGGAGGGGACAGACGCTGGCCTTTCACTGCGGGCACAGCTGAGACGCTCAGGGCCCTCCTGCATTGGGGGCTGGCTCTGGAGGGCATGGGAAGGTCAGTGTTGGGGAAGGTTGGTTCTGACACCAGCCCCCACCCGTTCCCGGGACCCACATTCTTACTCTCCGCTCTTCTCAGTCTCAGCATCCCTTAATACCGATGTGATTTCTGCCTCCAACCTGTGTTGGGGCCTGTGTTTGCCCCTACATGACCCTCTTTCCTCCAGAGCTGACCTCAGCCTGGGGCCTGTTTGCAGCTGTGTGATTCCCATTTGCTGTCGGTAGCTATGAAGTCTGAGTACAGCTGTAACATCTTCACAATATATTTACCAAAAGCAAAATGAAAGAGCCCATCCCCATGAAGATGGACACGAGTGACCTGTGGTTTCTTTGGGGTTTTTTATTTTAATTGGCATATCTCCAGGAAAGTGCTAATGTCATCCAAAAGAGGGATGAACTGTGAATGCCCTGAAATAGTTGGTTTGAAAAGAGTCCTATGGGAGATGTACAAGGGCTCTAAGGATTCTTGAAAGATCCTTTCTGTGCCCTAGAGACTTGTTAAAACAGCTTTTCATTTAAGTCTGAAGTTTGGATTAGTCTACGGCCATACCACCCTGAACGCGCCCGATCTCGTCTGAAGTTTGGATTGCTTACTCTGACTTTAAATCCTTCATTCTTCAGAATGGAACACACCCAGCCCCCCGGAGCCCCATCCAAGGCTCACCCAACTATATAAACCTCCCATCATATGCTCCCTGAGACTCAGAGTTGGCTTTAAGTGAGGGCGTATTCTCCCGAGGCTTTGTGAATTTGTAGTTGCAACTGTGTGCTTCACAATCTGTACTCAAGCAGTGCAAATTGATTCTAATACCAGCTTGGCCTGAATGTAAATGAGAGCAAGAATAGTAGCTAATATATGCATATTTGGGCACTGCATTAACACATCATATGAATGATGCCACTTAGTCCCCAAGAGCCCCGTGTAGTAGATAGATACCCTTTCTAAATCCCATTTCACAGATGAGAAGGCTAAGGGAGGTCACGAGACTTGTCAAAGGACACAGAGTGAGCTAATGGTGCAGGCAGGATTTGAACTCAGGTGTGATTCTAAACTGTGTGCTCTCACACCTACCACTCTCCTGCCAGCTGGATCAGTAAATACCAAAAAGATTGATGGCATTCAGTGTGTCCAAACCTGTGGCAAGATGGGCATATATACATTCTTGTGGGGGTGTAAATTGGTACAGATTTTTGGAGCACGATTTGGTAGGTCCTACCAAAATTGTAAATCTGCTCCATCTTTTAATCATCTCCTAGGAATCTAGAACACAGGAAGCCTTGGGTTTGTAGACATAGAAAAAGGTATGCAAGTGTTCATCACAGCATCATGTATGGAAACAAATACCCACCAATGATGCTGGTGGGTATTTAATTACAGAACTTTCATGCTATAGAATTCTAGATACCCATCAAAGGCTTTGCATTTTCAACAATTTGCTGGATATGGCCACGAACAAGCCAGATGCTTTCCAGTCCTATAGAATTTAGGGTCTACCAGAGAATTTTGATGCTCCAGAGATTTTTAGCTTTTTAAATAACTTGTCCGTGGTGCTCCTGCATTCTTATCTGATTGAATAACACAAATGATCACAAACAAGTAAAACTAAGCTATTGATCATGCAGATGGCATTCAACCACTAGAAGAAACAATTTACAGCAAGAAGCTGTTCTAATGCCTGCACACGTGGGTCTACCATCCCTGGAACCTCCATACCTCTAAAAATTACAGATAGAATATCATCACCATGAATAAACACTAACGGAGGGCCCAAACAATTTTTGTCGTTATATACTGCAAAAGCAAAATCAATATGTCATCAGTTGGGACTTGAAAACCAAGATTTAATTATAATGCAAGATGAATCTGCAGGGAGGGCCAGCTAACCTGGTGGCCATCTTAACTCCACCCACATTGATTGTACTTCGTAGTAAAGTATTTCTTCAAGGGCAAGGGGATTGTCATCAGACAGTTTCTCGTTTCTTGGATCTCATATCTTGGATTTCTCTTTGATGCATCTTGACTTGGCTTACCAGAATTTAAAGCTCTCCAACACTTTAACCATCAACAAAAGGATTGCTATGATGCAGTATCTACTGACATGGAAAGTTTCTCATGAAATGGTATTAAGGGAACATTTGAAATCATGGTGCAGAATAAGGTAGTCAGTATGATGCAGTTCTTGTGGGAAGAGCCATATCTAATGTGCACACACATACACACGTGCACATCGTTGCATTTGCAATGATACGCACCAAACTGTAACATTCTGGAGAAGGAGGCAGAAGGCAGGGTAGATGCTGGATGGAATATGCTCAGTATTACATTGTGTGCTTCTCTGATGCTAAATTTGTCTACAGTGAGCATGTACAATTCTGCTCATGCATTATTCTGTATATGTAAAATCAAAGGGAAAAAAAGTATACTAGAGCCAGATGATGAAGTCCATGTAGGAAAACACAGGAATTAAGAAATGGTCATGGAAGTTGTGAGGACCTCCCAAAGGGCTAAGGCAGGGAATGGAGATGCTCTGATCTGCAGTAATATGGAGGGTGCATTGTGGGAAAGCAAGAAGGTATGGAGACTGTGGCCGGGGGGCAGGAGGGGGTGCTCAAGGGACTTAAATGCTGTGGGCACAGCGGATCTTGGAGCCCGGCCGCTGTGAGGGGCAGGAGATGGAGGAATGGAGGCTCGCAGTAGATGTGCCTTTAACTTGCTGGAGGAGGGGTGGGCTTCTGGGCTCAGAGGCAGGGCTCAGTGCGAGACATGGGGTAAATGAGATGACTGCAGGGCTGTGGGATTTCCTGGGCATGGTACCCACCAATTAAGAGGTTTGTCAGTTCATCCTAAATAGGTTCTACGCACTCTTACCAGGCATGACTCTAAGAACTGGAGCGGAGATATAAGCCAGCCAAGCATGTCTCTGCCCTGCTGGAATTCAGGGACCTGTTCAGTTAGCAACAGAGTTCTTCCTTGCTCAGCTGGTGACATTCTAGACATTTCCCAGTACAATGGACCGTGGTATCTGAGCGCTGCTGGGTCCAGCCAGGGGAAGGGGAGACTGAAGACCAGCTGAATCATCTCCCAGGGAAGGTCTCTAGACAAAGCCAAATTTGAGCCTATGGAAGTCTTAAGCCTTGACAAGGTTATGATGCTCCTCTGCCCCAAAGTGTAACTGAAGATAAAAACCCAAATAAACTGCAAAGTAAAGTTAAGCAAGATCCACAAACTTTCTGATTTTTGCCTCTCGATGTTGACTTGATGCTTTCCTTCAAAATGTTAAGTAGCAAATCCTTCCTCAAAAATTGATTTTAAGGGCCCATGCTACACGCTGTCTAAAGCAAATAGAGCTGTGTTGACCTCAGGGGTGTTGGCCTCAGACTTTGTTCTGGCCTCCTTGTCCAAGGAGTCTGATCAGGTGTGTGGGTCTCAACAGCAGGAGAGGCCTGGGGGGTGACAATCATCTGGAGCAGGTGTTGCCTACCCTGCAGCTCTTCATGCAGCCGGTGCCTGGACACAGAGCACATGGCCTGCCTCCAGGCTGGGCATGATATAGAAGCATGGCCATGCAAGGCAGAGGCCAGGTCACAGCTCCGGCTGTGATGGCGAAGGGGTGGCCAGAGATGGACACCAGATCATGGCTCAGTGGACCCTTCAGTGTGCAACACACACTAGACACAATGGACATTGAGCCCCATCCCCCGGGACTGCCAAGGCTCCTGGGCTTCCCTACCTTAGGGAGGGATGGCTCCCCACCTGGGCATCAGGTAAGGGAGTGAGGGTGGACAATGTCACCATGTCAAACCTCTCTTGCTCCCTTGAGCCTGGCTCTCCTCACTAAACAACTGTGGTCCTTTTTTGCAGAGTGATGAGGTCCTCACCGTCATCAAGGCCAAAGCTCAGTGGCCAGCCTGGCAGCCTCTCAACGTGTAAGTAACACACAGACCCTGGCCATTCCTTGCACTTGAAGCCACCCACCTGCTGTCCACTGCATGCCAGTTATGTCATTAAAGTCAGCAGAACCTCTCAGGTGCATGAGCAGATGAGGTACACTGCCCATATGTGGGCTGTCATTCTTACCCATATCTTCTCAGGAATATGGGCTTGGTCTCTGTTTCCCCCAATGGCTCTAATACCACAGAACCAGACATAACAGTCACCCATTATGTGTTCACTCATGTCTTGGCCACAACAGGCTGCAACCACCTTTGCACACAGGTATACTCACTCTAAGCAGGTCTAACTTGTGCAAGGCTAGATTTACCCCAGGTTATCTCTTTTCTGTCTACTCTATCCCTTGAAGATTTCATCCTCCCTTGTATTTTGATGACCAAGGGTATGCTGATGGCTCCCTGAATGACTACTGCCCCAGGTAGACATGTATGTAGGTAGGGAGGTAGGAAGACAGGTAGGTAAGTAGATAGATCATCCATCCATCAGTTTCTTGGACACCTCTCTGTAGACGGCATACATGGACCTTGAACTTATCATATCAAAAAAAAAAAAAAAAAAAAAAGAAGGAACCCATCACTAAGTCCTGTGGATTCTACCTTTTTAATATCTCACAAATCAGTCCTCACTTGGCCATTCTCCCATCATTAGTTCAAACCACCATGTTTTCTCACCTGAACTACTTCAACTCTTCCCTCTTCCATGGTCTCTCCTACCTGATCCCACGTTACACTGTCACTGGAGTGATCTTTTAAAAATCCAAATCCAATAGTGTCCTCCTCTCCTTAGAATCCCTCCATAACCTCCTTGAGTCTCCAGGATCACTTAGAGAGGCCACAGTGAGCCGAACACACCCCAGCTCCTGCTTCCTTTTCCTTAAGGCTCATGTCTTGCCTCTCTCTGCTCTGCACCCCTCTCTGGCCAAGCCAAGTCCTGTCCAGTTCCTTGAACGAGCTTTGGTTTCACTCCTCCTTCAAGGATCCAAGACTTGGAGCAAAGTTCCTGCCAACCACATGAAAATGGTTTATGAAGAATGGCTTGGCCATTCTCTGGAGTAGTGTCTACCCTCCAGTGATGGTCTTGATGACGAGAGCTTGTGAGATTCTGCTCCGTGGGGGAAAAGGCAAATTCAAAATGATGGGTAGAGAAGCACAGGATGGGGTAGCAGGGGTGGAGACAAGAGTGCTCGCACACAACCAGCTGGGAGCAGGGAAGCCCACCTGTTTAACCATTCAGCAAGCTAACTGCCCTTCCCCCACCACGTGCCAGTCCTGTACACCCAGTCCCCACCCTTTGGAACGCACAGCCAGCGGGGGGGATGGACAATAAAGAGAGTTCTACCATCCCGGTGCTGCCCTTTGCACACGGCCAGGTGATACCATATATACATCATGGTAGCCGTGTACACTCCAAAGGGGATAAATGTTATGATGAGGTTATAAGTGGTTCTGGAAGCCTAGACAAGGCACAACCCAGCCAAGGGTTGGGGAGGGGTCATGAAGGGCCTTGTTCAGAAGGTATCATACAGGGCTGAGTCTGGAAGGATGCTCCTTGCCCTGGATTGGCCCAGGTCTGGGCAGAACTGAGGCCCTAAGTAGAGACCTGAGGAAAGGGAGAGAGGCCACCACCTGGACAGCTGACCAAGGGCAGCCAAGCTGGCTGTGTAGAGGCCTTTCCTCGCTTGCTGTGATCTCCTCTGAGGAAGCGGGGGCCAGTGTGGTTGAAAACCTGCCCAGCCCTGGAAGTGCCTTCCCCTCCAGGGAGAAGCAGCCGAGGCAAGGTCTGCTGCCCCGGGGTCTCCCCCTGTAAGTGGGCATTTGCCTGTCTCAGGCCCGTCCCACCAAAAAACCCTGAGTCCCCTTCACATCATTAGCATCAGTCAGAAAAAATGGTCCACCACGAATGTTGTGTGCTCAGGCTCTCCTCAGCTGCCCCCAGCTCCCCAAACTGTATGTGGACGCGTCCTCACCCTGGGCCCTCTATGTCAGGGGCTCGAGGCCAGGCAGGGGCTGGGGGCATCTGGGCCAGAGCTTGTGGGTGCCAGTGTTGACAGCACTAGGGAAACCAGATCCCAGTTTTCCCTTAAGAAGCCTGGGTTTAGGAAGATGTAAATGACAAAGCAGGGTGCTTCTGGAAGGAGAGGGGAAAGGGGGAGGAGAGAAAAGGAAGAGAGCAGAGAGCTGTCCTTTTCTCTCTAGCACCTACTGTGTGCCAGGTACCCTGCTAGGGCTTCTGCTCCTCATCCCACTTCATCCTCATACTAACCCCATGAGGTAGGGGTATGGAGCCTCACCTTGCTGATCAGACGGAGGCTCACAGGCTCCATGGCAGGTCTAACCCCTGACCTCAGCATCCAGCTCCACTGGCGGAGGGACTGGAGCTCCAACCCTGTCCAGCTGCCTCCGCCCGCTATGCCCCTCGCTTAGAACAAGACCCCTCCAACTAAGTAACAGTTCGTTCAGTGTCCATTTTTTAACCATCAAGACATCTGTATCTGCCAGTCAGACTTCGGACCAGTATGAAATTAGCACTGCGACCACAACCGAATTGTCTGACTCCTGCCCCAAAACCAAACAAAATCTTGACTTTCACTTACCTTGTGTCCTTCTGTCAGCGATGGCCGAAACATTTCATTGCCTCGACAAACGTTTATGGCCTGTCTCTAAAGGGAAGTACCGTCAAAGGTAGTTAGGAATGCAGTGGTGAGCAGAGCAGAGTTGCTCATGAACTCACAGTTTAGTGAGGGAGAGACATTAACCAAATGGTGACAAATGTGACACATCTGTGAAGATGTAAGGTGCCATAAGAGAGTGTGAAGGGGACCCCGACCCAACCTGAAGGTCAGAGAAAGTTTCATTAAGGGTTGGCAATTGAGCTAAAGGTTAAGGAACCAATAGGAGCTGATGAGGTAAAGACGTAAAGAAAGGGGAGAGCATTCTACAAAGTCTAGAGAGACCATCATGTGTAAAGACCCTGAGGAAGGTACTAAACAGTTGTGGTATAACTAGGTCCAGAAATCACAGGTGAACTTGGCATGGGGCCAAGCCACACAACATTAGGGATTTTGATTTTTACATTAAGAGTAATGGGAAGTCATTGAAGGGTTTTAAACAGGATGACAACATGATCAAATCTGCATTCAAAGCAAAACACAACAGGGATGTCTGGGTGGCTCAGTTTGTTGAGTGTCCAACTTTTGATTTCTGCTTAAGTCATGATCTCACAGTCTGTGAGTTCCAGCCCTGTGTTGTGCTCTGCACTGACAGCTCAGAGCCTGGCTGGGATTCTCTCTCTCTCTCTCTCTCTGTCTCTCTCTCTCTCTCTCTGTCTCTCTCTCTCTCTCTCTCTGCCCTTCCCCCACTCAGGCTCACTATCTCTCAAAAACAAAGAAACTTAAAAAAGAAATAGTAACAACACTCTGCCTCCAATATGAAAAGGTTAAGAGTAGGGGCACCTGGGTGGCTCAGTTGGTTAAGCGTCCGACTTTGGCTCAGGTCATGATCTCACGGTTCGTGCGTTCGAGCCCCGCGTCGGGCTCTGTGCTGACAGCTAGCTCAGAGCCTGGAGCCTGCCTCAGATTCTGTGTCTCCCTCTCTCTCTGACCCTCCCCTGCTCACGCTGTCTCTCTCTCTCTCTCTCAGAAATAAATAAAACATTAAAAATTAAAAAAAAAAAAAGTAGTGAGGAGAGAACTCACAATGACCTTAGCAAGGATGGTGGTGATAGAGATAGGAAGAGGTGCAGTGATCTCAGAGATGTGTAGGAGTAAACCCCATAGGCTGCAGTGATAGGTTGGATAAGGAGAGTGAGGGAGGCAGAGATTAATGGGTTGGTGGGGCCACTATTAAAGTTTAGAATAGTAAATAAAGTTCAATGGGAAAGACCATGAGCTCAGTTCTGGATGTGATATGTTGGAGATGTCTTCAAGATATACACCTCGAGGTGTTTACATCTCACTAGAAAGCTTCTGAAACGCAGGGAGAATTCTGCACTGACATATAAAGTTGGGAGTCATTGAGAAGCAGTAGACAACCAACACCAAGGTCATGGATGAGGGAAAGCCTGAGAATAAATCAAAGGTTTAAGGCTAAGTCCCAAGGAGCTCCAACATGTAATGCTGGGGAGGACGTGTCTGCAAAGGAAGGAAACAGAAAAGGAGTAGCAGACAAGGGGAAGGAAGCTTGGCATCAGGAGGGAGTGGGCAGCTGTGTCCCGTGCACCTGAGAGACCAAGATTAGGGCTGCAACATGCCCGTTGGATTGACCAACATGAAGAAAATCAATGACCTTATTGAGAATCTTTTCCACTGAGCAATGGCAGGAGGCCTCAAAGAGGGTGAAATGTGAACAGAAAGTGAGGTTATACAGTCAGTGAGCACAGACAAGTCTTCTGAGGAGTTTGCTGTGAAAGAAGAGAGACTAAACAGTAGCTCCAAAGAGATGAAAGAGTCAATGATGTTTTTGTCTTTTTTTTTTTAATGTTTATCTTTGAGAGAGACAGAGCATCAGCAAGGGAGGGGCAGAGAGAGGGGGAGACACAGAATCCAAAGCAGGCTCCAGGCTCTGAGCTGTCAGCACAGAGCCTGATGTGGGGATCAAACTCACAAACCGGGAGATCATGACCTGAACTGGAGTCCAATGCTTAACCAACTGAGCCACCCCAGGTGCCCCTGTCTTCTTCTTTTTTTTAAATGGGAAAGACTCAGGGGTGCCTGGGTGGCTCAGTCGGTTAAGCATCCGACTTCAGGTCATGATCTCACAGTTTGTGGGTTCGAGCCCCACATCAGGCTCTGTGCTGATGGCTCAGAGTCTGTTTCAGATTCTGTGTCTCCCTCTCTCTCTGCCCCTTACCCACTCATTCTCTGTCTCTCAAAGCTGAATAAATGCTAAAAAAAAAAAAAATTTTTTTTAATGGGAAAGACTTTTCTGAAAATTTGAAAAATATGTATATTTAGGGTCACCTTCCCAGCTTTCACCCA